CCTCCCAGCTGCTAGAAGTTGATAACTTTGTTCTTTTTAGTTCCTTAGGAATGTGATGTGATGACCCCCAGGCAGAGAGTCTGTGCTGATAGCTCTCATCAATGACAACTAAAAGATCAGGGTATAGGGCGTTGCTCTGGTCTCTGATGCATGTCCAGTAAAACAAAAGACTATCAGGAACTAAGACCAGATGGATGCCTCCACCCTGAGACTAGATATCTGCCTCCACCCTGAGATCAGATGCCATCACCCAGTAATCAGACGGATGCCCCCTCACTGAGACAAGATGCCTCCCCTGCTCGGAGACCAGCCCTCAATATAACTGGTCTGTAGTCTTTGTTCTGTAAGATGGTTCTTTGAGACGTTAGTTGGCCATGTTCCCCCTTGCTAGCAAGCTGTAATAAATTGTCCTTTCTTTTCCACCATCTTGCCTCTTGACTATTGGCTTTTGTCTCACCGCGAGCAGATGGTGTCCTTTGTGTGGTAACACCGAGACTCCCAGCCGCCCCGCCCGCTGCCCCAGACTTTGCCCAGTGCCTGTGCCGCAGGCAGGCTGGCCAGGTTCCCTCGCTCAACTGTGTTGTACTGGAGAAGCAACACAGGGCAAGCCCCTCCAAAGTGAGCTTTTAAAGAATGTTATCTTTTATGAACTATTTGAGGATAGTTTGGAGATTTTGCCCCTTTAACACTAAGTACTTCAATGTTTAAGAACAAGGCCATCTCTTACATAACTACAGTGCAATTATGAAGATCAGGAAATTTGACTCTGATACAATACTATTATTTAATGCACAGCCCCTATTCGTATTTTGTCTGTTGTCCTAGTCATGTCTTTTAGAGCTAATTTTTTTCCTGGTCTGATATGCAGTGCTGGGTCATGCATTGCATTTAATTGTCATGTCTCTTTAATCTCCTGGAACATTTCCTTAGCCTTTTTGTTGGTTTGTTTCCTGACCTTGACATTTTTGTTTGTGTGTGTGTGTGTGGAAGATTGGCCCCAAGCTAAAATCTGTTGCCAATATTTCTCTTTTTGCTTGAGGAAGAGTGGCCTTGAGCTAACATCTCTGTCAGTCCTCTTCTATTTTATATGTGGGTGGCTGCCACAGCATGGCTTCATGAGTGGTGTGGATCTGTGCTGGGAGTCTGGGAATCCTGCCCCCCAAAGTGGACTGTGCTGGACTTAACCACTAGGCCATTGGCCTAGCCCCCTGACCTTGACATTTTTGAAAAGTATAGGCCAATTATTTTGCAGAATATCCCTCAATTTAATTTTTTCTGGTTTTCCCTCATGGTTAGATTCAGGTTAGGTATTTTTGATAGGAATACCCCAGAAGTGATATTGTGTCCTCAGTGCATCATTTCAGAAGGTACATGGAGTCAATTTGTCCCGTTATTGGTGATGTTAAGGTGGTTATCCTCCAGATCTCACTGATGTAAAGCTATTATTGTCTTGTTTTTGAAATTAACAAGTAGTTTGTGGTGAGATACTTTGACACCATGTATACATCCTGTTTCTCATCCCACTTTTACCTATGACAACCAAGATACTTACGTTTACTTACTATAACATTTTAGCTATGATAAACAGTTACTACAAGAACCTTAAACCTTGATTGATGATTTTCAACTTGATCTTTCTTCTATTTATTTTTTGGCATTCTACTGTAAGAAAGAGCTTTCCTTCTCCCCTCCCTCCCTCCCTTCTTTCCTTCCTTTCTTTCAAAAGAACTCATGCATTTCTATTTTATTCTATGGATTACAATCTATTTTACCATTATTCACTTTGATGCTCGAAATAATCTGTCCCAGATTTGGCCAATGGGAGCCTCATCAGGTGGGCCCCTATGGCCTTTTGAAATATCCCTGTCATTCTCTGCATACTTCCTTACATTCTAGTGCGATAAGGTACTCCAAGATAATCTTATCCTTTTCCTGCTCCAGCCTTGATATCAGCCATTTCTCCAAGAGCTACATTTTGTTTTAGTTGAGAATTGTATTTAGAAACCAAGATTTGGGTGCTAGGTGTGTCCATTGCTACTGAGGGTTCATTGCCCTCTCAATATGTATATATTGTATAAAATTTCTGATCACTTGTTGGGACAAGAGGCTTAAAGAGTAAACTTTTTTCCCTTTGAAAACTAGGGAATAGTTTCATGAATGAAAAAAATACATATCTTAGAATTCTAGGGATATCTTTTTTCTATGTACACTGTAATCATTCAAGATAAAAAAAATCTCAGTATAGCTAGGATGGACAGGGAGGAAGAGAAGACTTTGTTTTTATGTTATTCATTGAAATTATTTTGGGGGGAGTGTGGTTCACTCTCTGTTTCAGTTTTTAAAAGTTTGACATAATTGCATCTTTGGGACATTATCCCTAAAGGGTCTGAAGTTTCAAACCTCTGTATATTATAGCTGCTAAACTTTAAATTGTTCAGGGACGACAGGTATTCCCCCAAAACAACAGATGATTTAAATTTACATAGTATTTCAATTACTGTCCTTTGGCATTTTAGTTATGGAGGTAATGGTCAATACTTTTGAAAGAGATGAATTGCAATGTTGGTTTTTTTTTTTTTTTTTTGTGAGGAAGATTGGCCCTGAGCTAACATCTGCCAATCCTCCTCTTTTTGCTGAGGAAGACTGGCCCTGGGCTAACATCCGTGCCCATCTTCCTCTACTTTATATGGGACGCTGCCACAGCATGGCCTGACAAGCCGCCACAGCATGGCCTGACAAGCGGTGCGTCACTGTGCGCCCGGGATCCGAACCAGTGCACCCCGGGCCACTGCAGCGGAGTGCACGCACTTAACCGCTGCACCACCGGGCCGGCCACTGTGCAATGTTGATTTTTATGTAATACATTTAACATTTTTAACATGGATGCATTCATTCTTTCCTGCACTTAGCTAACTTTATGAAGTACAATGTCAAACAATATTTTATTTGGAGTTGGTGACAGGGAGTTCAGGTGAGAGGACAAATTTTTCTTGGCTACTGTTTTTAAACAATAGAAAATATCAAGTCCCAGGCAACAGGGCTGATTTTTCATTCTAAAACAAATTGTGTTTTCTTTGCTTGTTTTGAGAATAGCACAAAAAACGTTGTTTCCTTAAAATAATCTCTTACAGTAATATAATAAAATTTTTGCAGAGAATTTGTTAAATATAAAATCTGACAGAGAAATCCCTAAGAAATAATCTGTTGTGTAACAAATGAATAAAAACTAATGACTGTGATATAAGAAAAATGGAGCTCTTAGGAAGAAAATCAAAAAACTGTGCATCCTAAAGTACCACAGAGGGAAGTAATACTGACAGGCATTCCCTAGAATACTAAAAGAGTATTCAGCGTTGCTGATAATGTTTGGACCTACACTGTGAGCTGCTTGGGGACTGTTGACTAAAACAGGTACAAATGAAAGGACTTGCTAATAGGCTAGATACGAAATAGAGTGGAGAAGTCAAAGATAATGATGTAATATAATGACAACTACTTGAAAAATGTTATGCCCCTGTTATAGGGGCATGATATGAGATATTGCCCATAACACAATTGTTTTCACCATCACCATCTATGCCAGCTTTTTAAACATGGAGGACTGGGAGAGAAATGAGCAGTGACTGGAGTTGAGAAACTGAGGAAGAAATGGGATGAGAAAGTGAAGACTGAAATATTGTAAGATAAACCATATAATTGAGGAATTTTCCTATGAAAGAAAGAGCAAAAATAGGATGGCAGTTTGCATACATAGCGTGACAGTGAAGGGAATTTTTAAGAACAAGTATATTTGAAAATAGAAAGGAGAGAACTAGTGGGGAAAGGAAAAAGATTGAAGGTGATAAAGAGCAATATCAGTGCAGAAGCAAGGTAAGTTTTGTAACTTTTAAATTAATGTGAAATGTAAAAAAAATAAAACTTTAAGTGTTTTGTTTATAATTAGATGATTTATAATCTTCTTTTCAAAGAGATTTTAAGATCATTTTGAAAGGGAGTTTAATTTCTGCATTTCCTGGATCTTCAGGATCCAGGGTTTTAATGTATAATACGAGTATTGCCTGGGTATAATTTTTAGAACTATTTACATACTCACAAAAGTATGGGGTCTCAATACTGAATGAAACTGTACAGTACATGTATCAGTGTTTAAAGGAGGTGGGTTATTTTTTGTGACTTGTAAACTGGCTCTTAAATATAATCAGAATGTACATCTACAATGCTACAAACAATGTCATCATTTTTGAAACAAGTGTATGGACTCCATGCTGTTAGCTGGAAAAAATTCATTTAGACCCAGAACTTCATAGATGTTAGTTTAAAATTCATTTATTTATTTCTTTCAACATTCCTCCTCTTCTTCCAGTGAAAATCAGTAATGGTTTTTATGTACAAATATGCTTTTTCTTTTTTTTTTTGGTGAGGGAGGTTGGCCCTGAGCTAACATCTGTTGCCAGTCTTCCTCTTTTTGCTGAGGAAGATTGTCCCTCAGCTAACATCTGTGCCAATCTTTTTCTATTTTTTATGTGGGACGCTGCCATAGCACGGCTTGATGAGTGGCGTGTCGGTCCATGCCCAGGATTCAAACCTGCGAACCCCGGGCTGCCGAAGCAGAGCATGCGAACTTAACCACTACACCACTGGGCTGGCCCCACAAATGTGCTTTCTTTTCCTCACTTATGTGGTTTTCTTTTCTAATTTGTGCTCAATAGTTTATTCAATGTTCATTCACATTTTTCTACCATTCAACACTTTCATATGTTTACTGAAAACCTGCTGTGTGCCAAGTATAGGATTGCGGGATGAGATTCAAATACTAAATATGTTTATTCTTGTTTTCAAATTCACTCTTGTCTAAATTTTGTTGTGGAAGAATCAACTTTTTATGTAAATCAAACCTTGTTTTTTTCCCCTTAGATCAATAGATACACATCTTGTGGTTTCTTGCTGTAAAATTGTGTTTATGATAGTGAAAATAAGTTTGAAAGAGTTTTCCTAATGAAATGAACATTATACTTTATCCATCTCTTTATGTCCTCAGATGAAATGAAAAGAATAATACTAGAATCGCTACAGGTGAAAGAAAGGAAATGCAAGGAGAAAACATCACCATTTGGAGCATTTTTTTCCTGGAGGGTTTTTCTAGATACCCAAAGTTGGAGATTGTTCTCTTCGTCTTTAGCCTTGTAATGTATCTGATAACCCTCTTGGGCAACAGCACTCTTATTTTAATCACTATCTTAGATTCACGCCTTCAAACCCCCATGTACTTGTTCCTTGGAAATCTCTCTTCCATGGATATTTGTTACACATCTGCTTCTATTCCCACTTTGCTGGTGAACTTGCTGTCATCCCAGAAAACCATTATCTTTTCTGGGTGTGCTGTACAGATGTATCTGTCCCTTGCCATGGGCTCCACGGAGTGTGTGCTCCTGGCTGTGATGGCATATGACCGTTATGTCGCCATTTGCAACCCACTGAGGTACCCCATCATCATGAACAGACAGGTCTGTGTGCAGTTGGCCGCTGTCTCCTGGGTGACGGGGTGTCTGACTGCCCTGCTGGAAACCTGTTGCGCCCTGCAGTTACCCCTCTGTGGGAATCTCATCGATCACTTCACGTGCGAAATTCTGGCAGTGCTGAAGTTAGCTTGCACAAGTTCACTGCTCCTGGACATGATCATGCTGGGGGTCAGCGTGCTCCTCCTGCCCATTCCAATGCTCTTAATTTGCGTCTCCTATGTCTTCATTCTTTCTACTATTCTGAGAATCAGCTCAGCAGAGGGAAGAAACAAAGCTTTTTCTACCTGTGCTGCCCACTTGACTGTGGTGATCTTGTATTATGGGGCTGCCCTCTCCATGTACTTAAAGCCTTCTTCATCAAGCTCACAAGAAATAGATAAAATCATCTCTTTGCTTTATGGAGTGCTTACCCCTATGTTGAACCCCATAATTTATAGTTTACGAAACAAGGAAGTCAAAGATGCTATGAAAAAACTGCTGGGCAAAATACCATTGCATCAAACACATGAAAATCTCTGACTGGGTGCCTATGGTTTTACCAGGGGTGTGCCCCTGGCAGAACTCACCAGAGAAATTCTAGACAGTATGCTCACCCTTAGAACACTGACTTGAACCATAGCTCTGTAAGTTTACAGTTGTGAGATATGTGTACACAGTGATTGCCTGTGAATGATAGTAGGCTTCAATTTGCATTTAGTAATGTTTTCTGTCTTTTGTGTTTCATGGTTGTGAGAAGTTTTGGTCTATAAAGTCATCACACATTTGCTCCAGAAGGAAACTTGGATAAATTTATTCAGTGAATGTTGGTGCCAGTAGAAACCTGTATATCTTCTCTGCCTTAAATCCTTTCTAGAATGAGGCAGGAGCACAAAGAAACAAGTCATAGAGATCGCCCTTGATTATGCAAGTGAGGAAACAGAATCAAAGAAAAATTGAAAGACTTGCTCAACATCACACAGATGCAGAACTAGAACTGCAACCCTCATCCTTTTGACTTCTTCGCCAGAGCTTGTCTTCCCACATCGTAGTGGCTCCCTAATTACCCTTCCTCATTCAAAACTCCTGAGTAAAACTCCTGACCCAAGTAAGGCATTCAATGCCAACTTGATTTGCTCACCTGCTGGTCTTGCCTTTCTAGCACATAGATACTTGTGAAAATTGTATCTGTTTCCATGCCAGTGTACCACCCATACACTAATTCAGTCTTTATGTTTGTCTTTTGCCTTCATTGGATGATTGAGTTCACAAGGACAAGGATTCCTATTATTTTGTACTTTCTATGTTTATAGCAGTCATTCAGTAAACTAATAAATTTATTAGCTTTAAACTAATCACTTTACTTGATAAATACCGCTTGTGAAAATTATGGAGAAGAAACAACATGGGCAATGAGGTATATTGCTTTATTAATATCCAACGATTACAGAGACAATGTTTTCATTAGTTGTTTTAAATCTTGTTCGTGTAAAAATATTGCTTGTTAAAAGTGCAGATTCTCGGCCTCTACTCCCAGATATTCTGATTCATTAGCTCTGGGGTGGGGGTCCTGATAATCTGCATTTATAATAGATCCCCAAGAAATTCTGATATGGGTTGTGAGACGACCATATTTTGGGAGACATTGTTTCCAGTGAAAATCTATCATTCCAAAAGAAAGGTAGGATTAATTCTTTTTTCTCCCCTTTTCCTTTTAATTTTTCTTCCATTCTTTCTGGCTCCCTGTGCACATTCTCATTTGCTTACCTCCACTTCTAGAGTGGGGAACGGGAGAGGGTTTTGACTGGAGGAAGGTTAACCCACTTGACAAATTTCAAAATATGAGAGATGTAAGAGTTTCAGTATTGGATGTTGAGTTCTGGATTATTTAACTCTTAGATCATTCCCTTAGATCTTGGGCTTCCATTACGTGTTCCTGGATGTGTAACCCACATATAGAGAGACTTAAGATAACCACATGCAAAATGCTGGTGATGAAGCAAGGGGACAAATTTGATGCCAGATATTGCTGCCAAGAGATGTTTGATTGTGAGGGATGGAAAAAAGCCCTGGGTAAGTGGTTTTGGAGTAGTAGGAGAGAGCTGATCAGAAAGATTTCATAGAAGCTAGAAGTAATTATTTTTCTGCTTAGATGCCTCAACCTTCTCAACCCAACTCCCATATTCATTTCCTGGCAATTTCAGAGTCATTTTGAAGTGAAATTTTATAGTAGGCTTTTATTAGAGTAGAGCTGAATTTTATGTTAGAGTAGAACTAATTGTCCGCCTCCTGGAATTAGCTATAATATGAGTGGTACTAAATATAAACAGAAATAACCAGAATTATAGAAATAGCTGAAATCTTTACTTCAAAGAGTGAACTATGAGAACTTGAAGACACACAGACTGAACACCCTCTGTAATTAGTATATCAGTTTTGAAACAAGGAACTGAGCAAATTGACGTGGAACCAAATGTTTCAGAATGGGCTATTTTAGAATGGGACACTGAAACAGATTAGAAATGACCCAGATGTCAGAAAAGGACCGAGGATGGGACCCAGGCAGATATCTCCCTAGCAGCTCTTGGCTAAGAGATTAAGAGTTACAGTAATTAAAGCTGTGTTACATAAAGTTCCTGTGACTAATAAATAACAAGCAAATATAAGTGTACTTTATATATTATATGCAATACTAAAGTTAATTATTGGTAAATGGTGCATTCCTTCATTTAGATTCCATCTCAACCAATACTAATTACAATCATTACTTTTATAGTCTCAGGTACGGGATCTTTTTTTTTCTTTGCTTGAGGAAGATTCGCCTTGAGCTAACATTTGTGCCAATCTTCCTCTGTTTTGTATGTGGGTTGCCACCATAGCACGGCCACCGACAGTGGTGTGGTTCTGCACCCAGGAACTGAACCTGGGCCACAGAAGTGGATGGCGCCAAACTTAACCAGTAGGCCATGGGGCTGGCCCCAAGGGATCGTTTTTAAGTATTGTTGAAAAGAGGAATATATTTGACAGAGAAGATAAAACCACTTCTGATAGGTGATTCCTGAATGAATGATTACATGATCATATTTACGCTTTAGAAAAATCTGGTCATGTTACTTCCCTACTTAAATCCCTTAGCAGCTTTTCATCACTCTAAATAACGAGTAATAAAAAGTCAACTGAACTCTTTTTTTTTTAATTGAGGTAACATTGGTTTATAACATTATATAAATTTCAGGTGTACATCATATTTTGATTTCTGTGTGGATTACATCATGTTCACCACCCAAAGACTAATTACCATCCATCACTATATACATGTGCCCTATCACCCCTTTCACCCTCCAACAACCCCCTTTCCTCTCTGGTAACCACAATCTAATCTCTGTATTTATGTGTTTGTTTGTATTGTTGTTGTCTTTGTCTTCTGTTTATGCATGAGATCCTACAGTATTTGACTTTCTCCCTCTGACTTATTTCGCTTAGCATAATACCCTCGATGTCCATCCATGTTGTCGCAGATGTCAAGATTTCATTTTTTTTGTGGCTGAGTAGTATTCCATTGTGTATATATACCACATCTTCTTTATCCATTCATCCCATGTTGGGCATTCAAGTTGTTTCCCAGTCTTGGTTATTGTGAACAATGCTGCAATGAACATAGGGGTGCATACATATTTATGCATTCATGTTTTCATGATCTTTGGATAATTACCCAGCAGTAGAATAGCTGGATCGTATGGTAGTTCTATTCTTTTTTTTTAATTGAGGTCAAATAGTTTGTAACATTGTGAAATTTCAGTTGTACATTATTATTCGTCAGTCACCATATAAATGTGCGCCTTTGCCCCTTGTGCCCACCCCCCAACACCCTTCCCCCAGGTAACCACCAAACTGTTCTCTCTGCCCGTGTGTTAGTTTATCTTCCACATATGAGTGAAATCCTATAATGTTTGTCTTTCTCTATCTGGCTTATTTCGCTTAACATAATACCCTCCAAGTCTATCCATGTTGTTGTGAATGGGACAATTTTGTCTTTTTTTATGGTTGAGTAGTATTCCATTGTATGTATGTATGAATTGAGTAGTATTCCATATGTATGTATACATATATATATACACCCCATCTTTTTTATCCGGTCATCAGTCAATGGACACTTGGGTTGCTTCCACATCTTGGCTATAGTGAATAATGCTGTGATGAACATGGGAGTGCATAGGCCTCTTTGGATTGTTGATTCCAAGTTCTTTGGATAAATACCCAGTAGTGGGGTAGCTGGGTCATATGGTATTTCTATTTTTAATTTTTTGAGGAGTATCCGTACTGTTTTCCATAGAGGCTGCACCAGTTTGCATTCCCACCAGCAGTGTATGATGATTCCCTTTTTTCCACAACCTCTCCAACATTTGTTATTTTTGTATTGGTGATTATAGCCATTCTAATGGGTGTAAGGATCTTAGTGTAGTTTTGATTTGCATTTCCCTGATGATTAGTGATGTTGAACATCTTTTCATGTGCCTTTTGACCATCTATGTATCTTCCTTGGAAAAATGTCTGTTCATATCCTCTGCCCATTTTTTGATCAGCTTGTTTGTTTTTTTTGTTGTTCAGTTGTGTGAGTTCTTTACATATTATGGAGATTAACCCCTTGTCAGATATATGATTTGCAAATATTTTCTCCCAGCTGGTGGGTTGTCTTTTCATTTTGATCCTGGTTTCATTTGCCTTGCAGAAGCTCTTTAGTCTGATGAAGTCCCATTTGTTTATTTTTTCTTTTGTTTCCCTTGTCCAAGTAGACATGGAATTCGAAAGATGCCTCTAAGACTGATGTCAAAGAGTGTACTGCCTATATTTTCTTCTAGAAGTTTTATAGATTCAGGTCTTACCTTCAAGTCTTTGATCCATTTTGAATTAATTTTTGTGTATGGTGAAAGATAATGGTCTACTTTCATTCTTTTGTATGTGGCTGTCCAGTTTTCCCAGCATCGTTTATTGAAGAGACTTTCCTTTTCCATTGTATGTTCTTGGCTCCTTTGTTTAAAATTACTTGTCCATAGATGTGTGGGTTTATTTCTGGGCTCTCGATTCTGTTCCATTGATCTGTGTGTCTGTTTTTGTGCCAGTACCATGTAAAGCTTGAAGTCCTTAAAATGACATGCAAGGACTTTCATAATCTGATTACTCACTGTTTACATCCTTTGCTCTAGGCACATAAAATTCCTTTTAGTTCCACGAAAGTGTGCTCTGTCTTGCTTCTTTTATTAAGAGCATTTATCACAATTTGTAATTTGATCATAATTTGTGGATTTCCTTGTTTAATGTCTCTCTCACTAGTCTGTAGGTTCATTGAGGGAAGGACCAAATCAATTTCATTTACCACTGTATACCCAGGGCTTAGCACAAGGTCTGGCACAGAGAAGACATTCAGTGCATACTTTTTTCTGAAGGACCAAGTGCTCGACAAACATCTGTTGAATGAAAATATGCATGTAAGAAACTGGTTTTTTTTTTTTTTTTGCTTTTTTTTTGAGGAAGATTGGCCCTGAGCTAACATGTGTTGCCGATCTTCCTCCTTTTTTCCTTTTTTTCTCCCCAAAGCCCCAGTAGATAGTTGTATGTCGTAGTTGTACATCCTTCTAGTTAC